GTCAGCACCGCTCGACTCTCCGGATGCCTACGCCGAGCTGAGCCAGCGCATCGACACCAAGGCCGACGTGGACGCGACGGAGCGGTGGCTTGAGGCGACACAACAGCTCGGCGCGGAAGTGACCGCAATGCACGCCCGCACAGCGACGCTGAGCAACGGGCTGAAGGTCCTGATGCGCTGGGTCGAGGGGATGGCCGACCGCGTGACAGGCGTGCAGGGCACGCAGCATTCCCTCCAGAGTGCCCTCGCCGCAACTCGCGAAGAGGTCTCGCACAACGCAGAGGTGGCGCACGCCTCAGCCCAGGGCGTCGCGGGGCACCTGCGGGCGCTCCTCGCGACGATGGACGCAGATGCTCGCAGTCGCTCGGCGACGCGTGACGGCTATTTTAGCCCGCATTCCGCCGGTCCGCCCAAGACGACGCAGCAGTTTCCACCCTCGCCCGCCGCTGCCAGCCCGCGTGCATGGAGCCGCGCGCAAACAGCACTCAAGGAGGCCGCGCGACTGCCGGCCGAGCCGATGGGCGGAGGCGGCGCGTCCGCGGTCGCGACGGGCCCGGTGGCTGGACGGACCGCGCCGCCGACACCGCGCGGAACGAGCGCGGCGGCAAGTGCGGCTCGCAAGGCGCTTGAGCAGGCTCCCATACCCACCCTGAGCCAAGGGCTTGATCTTGTGGTCCTGCGAGAGCCAGCCAGGGGACGGGCGGCGCAGGCCATGCCATCACCGTCACCGCGACATGACCGGCGGAGCGGCAGCCCGCCGCGCGTGTCGCTCGACGTGGCAACGGTCGGCGCGACGATTCCCGGGTCGGTGCTGGCGCCAGAACGCGGCAGCAGTCGGCCATCCTCCGCAGCTACACCAAGGAACGAGTGCGAGCGGCGGCGAGCGGACCTCGACGCAAAGCGCCGGCAGCTTGTGGAGACGAGGCTGCGGCCCCACACGGCGCGGGCACAGCCCTCGCGCCCGATCGCCACGTCCTGATTGGTGCGAAGCGTGTGTGCGAGTGAGCCGAGCGAGAGTGTGTGGGGGGTGCGCGCGAGGTTGTGCGGAGAAAGACAAAGGGCTGGCCTGCGGGGTGCTCCGTCGCCATGCACACCTCGCGTTTATTCTTCCTGCTCCCGACCCCTTCTGCGCGATTCAGAGAGTGAGGGGCACGGTTCGGGAGAGTGCGGCTGTCTGAATTTGGGAGTAAAATTCACTAGATCTCAACTCGACAGCTGTGCACGGCGGTCAGAGTGCACGCGATGAACGCCGTCTCAAGCGTCGCCGGCTGCCTTTCCCGCGTCCGCCAGGCGCTTGAGGTTGGCCCAAACGGTGGCAACCCGGAAGAGCTGCGCACGCTGCGAGCAGCCGTCCTCGCGCTCGAGCGGTCTAGCGTGTCGCACGATGACGCGCACGAGCTACGCTGCCGCTCTCACGAGTCCTTGAAGCAATGTGCTGCTCTCCGTTGTGACGATGATGACGACAAGGGCAGCGCCCAGCAGGCACGGTTTCGGGCGCTGTGTTTGGCAGTGTACGAGAAGCTCGGCAGGGTCGACGAGAGCGAGGAGCAGTGCGCCATCGCAAAGGAGTGGCTCAAGGTGGCGACCACGTTCATGGTGGTGGACAACCCGGGCGAGTCCCGCTGCTGCCTCGACGCGGCATCGAGCCTCTTGGGCAGGGCGCCACCCGAAGATCCGGCGGTGATCGAGGCGCGGTGTCGACTCAACGCCACGGAGGCGCAGCTGCAGTGGATCCTCGGCCACCCGCGCGCCACGATCGAAGTCCTGGAGGACACGAGAGCCTACATGGACTCTTTGAACGGCCGCTGCCCCGCGTCGGCCCGGCTCTTCCTGGCCGACAACGTCGCGCTCGCGCTCGCGTCCGCCGGCCTGCAAGACGAGCAGGAGGACGGGGGCGACGCCGACGGGCCCACAGACCGCCGTCTTCTCGTCACGCTGACAGACCTCTCGATCACGCTGCTTGGCGAGAACCACGACAAGATCTCCCTGCGCGACCGCGCCGTCCGTCTCAAGGCTTGGCTCTTGATTCAGGAGGACGAGCTCGACGCGGCGGCAGAAGCCTTGCAGGGCCACTCTGCGGCGCGTCAATCGGGCGACGCCGGGGACCCTTGCGACGGCGGCGCCGGTGATGAGCACCCAACGCACATGCTCCTGCGCCTGGCGCTACTTCTCAAGACGTCGCAGGAGGACGAGGCGAGGCGGAGGGCGGTCAAGTGGGCGGCGTCCGACCGGACCTTGAGCTTCGAGAGCATCCGCGACACGTCCGAGTTGCTCTGCCAGCACAACTGCGGCTCGGCGGCGCTCGAAGTGGTGAACGCGATCCTCAGCGGCCGCCTGGTGGACGGCGCGTCGAGCGCGCTGTACTCAGACGTGGTGGAGCTCAAGCACCGTCTCCTGACGCAAGGGGCGCAAAGCGATTCTGCCGCCGCAGCCGAGCATCTGGAGTTTGTCATCGACGGCCACAAAACGGGCAGGGCACCAGCGACGCCAGAGGCGCTCCAGCGGTTCGCCAGGAAGCTGTGGCATGCCGGCTGCCTGCACGCCGACTCGGGGGAGACCCATCGCGCCATCGAGGTGCCCTCCTCCTGCTGCTCCGCCGTGTATGTGTCTCCTCTGCTCACACGGCTGCTCGCACGCGCCGCGTCAGGTTGTCGAGCAGGCGAACCGCTTTCTTGAAGCGTCGGGCGACGACAACAGCCAGCTCATCACTACGCTCGTCACGCTGGCTCACTTCTACCTCAGCCAGAACCTCTTCGACAAGGCCGTCGCGCGCGCCGCTCGCGCCCTGCAGCTCCTCCGGCAGCACCACGAGCCCTCGGCGAGCAGTCAGGAGGAGGCTGCCCGACGCCTCTTCAACCCCGACGCCTCGATCCAGCTCGTGGGCGACAACAATCCGTCGGCACTCGCTCACATGGTGCTCATCAAGGCCTACCTCCAGCTCGGAGAGACGGAGCAGGCGCTGCACCACGTGGACGGGCTGTTGAAGGGCGAGCTGCGGCAGGACCACCTACTCGTCGCTGCGATCTGCGAAGACGTGGTCGAGATCCACCCCGGCGACAAGTCCATCGTCATCAAGCTGATGGAGGGATTCATCGCGCAGCTCGACAACGCCCCGCCTAGCACCGGCGAGCGGAACAAGCTCGCGGGGGCCTTGCGGACGCTGATGACGTATCGCGAGGAGCAGTCCGCCGCCGCCGGTGGTGCGGAGGCCTCGGCGGCCCGCGGCATGATCCTCGCCGACCTGAACCTCATCGTCAAGCGCGTGCGCACGCTCGGTCTGTCGGCGGTGTGCGACGACTCGAAGCACATCGAGTGGCTGGCAGAATGCGCTTGGCGACAGGGAGTCGCGTGCGCGCGGCTCGGCATGAAAGACTCGCCGGCCCGTTCCGGCAGCGACGAGGCCGTGGCGGCGCTCACAAACGCAGTCGAATTTTGCAAGTTGCACTGTTCGCTCAAGCAGTCCCTGTCAGCCACCGACGAGCGCTGCCTTGAGATGCTGCGCGCGCATTCCGTCATCGTGAAGTGCTGCCTGCGTCTCCACGACAGTGTCGTGCCGGCCGAGACGTTGATGGGCGCCGCTGCACCGTCGCCCCACCTCAAGAGCGCCGCCGACGCCATGGAGGCCGCCTTCCGGCTGAAGCAGCGCTGCCAGCCCGCAGAGATTGCGAGGCCCGCGTCTGGCGCTGCCCCCAGTGTCGCCCCGCAGCATTTTGATGCTGAGAAGAGCTGCCTGCTCCTCAACTTCGAGCTGGCCGTGCGCCGAGATGACCGCGCGAGCCTCAACACGACCCTCTCTCGATGCGTGGAGCAGAGCTTTGGCGTCGACAGCTTCCTCATCATGGCCGAGCTGTCCAAGAGGCAAGGCAACCGCTTCGCTGAGAAGGCCACGCTTGGCGAGGCGATGAACCAGCTACGGCGGGCGGAGCCGTCGGACTACGCCACGATGGGGCTGGTCCAGCGCAAGATGATCCACAGCTGCCTCGATCGTCGGGAGCAGCTGCCGCACTTCCAGGAGATGGCGGAAGTGCTCAGCTCCCGCTTCTCATCCGCCAACTGCCCGCTCGAGGCCGAGACCCTGCAGTGGTTCCTCGCGTCCTCGTACAACCAAGCCGTCGCCTATTTCGGCGACAGCGAGCACGACCTGGCCGAGAGCTGGTTCGCCGTCGCCTTTCAGTTCATGCACGTCTCGCCGCCGCAGCTGCAGGCCGTGCGCGACGATCTCATGCACTCGTACGAGCTGGTTCTGAAGGAGGTTGACGCAAAGAGCGGCCGGGACGAGGGTGACAGCTCGTTCTACCGCCGCATGCGAGCGAGGGTCACAGCGCCGTCCCGCGAGCCTGACGTCGAGAGCGACCCGGCATGAGCGTCCCGCCTCCCGTGGTGCTCCTGACCTCGCTGGGCACATGTCGCGGGTGCAGCCCTTGCCCTCGCCGATGCCTGCCGACCCCTTGCTCGAGACGCGCAGCCAGGCCGAGCCGAGCGCACGCCGCCCTCGCGGCCGGGCAGAAAGCGAGGCAGCGCCGTGCAGGCGAAGCGAACTCGCCCCTCGGTCGCATACGTGTGCACTCTTGTGTCTGCCTGCTGACGCGCGGGCGCCATTGAGCATTGTCCTCTGGCTGAGTGACAGCTGTGATCAAGCGAGCGAGCACAAGTGAGCGACGGTTCTGAACCTGATTGATACTGACTGAAGTTCTGAACTCACTCCGTCCGTCCGTGATCCGTGTGAGATTGATTGTGTCGTGGGCGAGACTGAGGGGGTGCATGGGAGAGGGGGTTAGCAGGAATAGTAGGAAACAGTATAGCAAGCGGCCCGGCACTCTCAGTCAGATGTGTGAACCTCGGACGAAACACGGCCCGTGACACCCCACAAGTTTCGATTGTGGAGGAATTCACCGCGGAATTGACCTCCCACCAAAGAACGCCTTTTGATATGCACCGCGCGGTTTCATTCCTGCTCCTAGCCCTGGCGTGCGCCTTCACGGCGGCGGCTCAAGTCACTGGAATCCACAGCAAACCGCTGGTTAGCGTTGTGCTCGTGACATGCGGCCGGCCTGAGTACCTCAAGCTCGCGCTCGCGCAGATCCACGAGCAGTCGTACCCAAACCTCGAGGTGGTTCTGGTGGTGGACGGCACACCCGTCGATTTGAGCCGCGAGCCGAGGCTCCACGTCCACCCCGCGTCCTCGTTCACGACCCCATCCTCCACCAATCTCCTCGACGTGCGGGTTGTCCAGTTTGACCATCGGGCGACAGTCGGCGAGAAGCGAAATGCAGCTGTGCTCACTGCACGTGGCGAGATCCTGGTGCACTGGGACGACGACGATCTGTACGACCCGACGCGGATCGAGGCCCAGATTGCCCCCCTCCTCGACAACACAGCGCGCATGAGCGCCCTCGTCTACTCGCACGCGGCCGCTCATGCGGCTGACGGTCCTCCTCAGTGGTACTCTGTCAAGAAGAGCGGCGCGGCGCAGGTGATGCCCGCCTCGCTGGCGTACAAGAAGAGCTCGGCGCTCGCACTCGGCCTGTTCCCCAACGTCTCCCTCGGCGAGGACATTGGACTCATCCAAGCCGGCCTCTCGAGCTGCGAGCAACTTGCAACGGCGCGCGCATTCACCAAGCTCTGTTGCTCCTGCCACTCTTCCGCTCGTTGCTGCCCGCTCGCAGCCCTGCTTGAGCATGTAGTCGCCTCGCCCAACGGCTTGAAGTGGCCTCGCCCAATCCGCATGTGCTGAGTGTGTGTGGTCTCTCGCATCAGGTTGCGGTCCCCTCCGTCTACACGCGCCATGGCGGCCACGCCGGCAACACTTGGCAGTGGGCAGAGGACAGGTCGATGGAGTCGCACGGCTTCGGCGCGTCGGCCCGCCCGCGCTTCGTGAGCGACGTGCTCCTTCAGGCCTACATGGCGGCCGAGGCGGACACA